CTATTCCTCTCCATCATCCTATTTCCTACTCTGTCCTCCCCATCATCCTATCCATCTATTACTCTTCCCCTCCCCATCATCCTATCCATCTATTACTCTTCCCCTCCCCATCATCTGTTCATCTCCTGCTCCGCCCCCCATCATTCCCTTCACTTCTTACTCTGGCTGTCCCATCATCCCACTAATCCAGCCCAACCATTACACCAACCTTAATATCCAGTATTTCATCTATTTTCTACATATATGCACCCTGTCCCTATGATCCTCCTTGTATAGATAGCCTTCCCCCCAAGAAACATCCTAATCTGTCACTTTGAGCCCCCCCTTACATTTTTCCCACATACTGTACGTGTACATTTGTATGAGTCTAAACACTGTCTATACATACATAAATGTACAGTACAAGAGTGCCCAGTACATATGTATACATGTACATGTACAGTGTATATACTACAGGGTAAGTACACAATGCAACTCAAAATGTTAACATTCAACTATTATAATTTTATTAAATTCATAAGTGTCTAAGCAATAATGCCATATGACACTATTTAAATAGTGATAGAATTCCAAGAGGAAGCAAGCAAGCACTCAATGGCACATTTTAACAGCTATGCCTATGGACCTGCAAAGAAAAACTTTTAACATTTGAGGACGGCGATGGAAATCAGTATTATATAGGCTCGCATTTGCTTCGCAGCTCGCCAAAACTCACCAATCTCTCGTTCGTCTCAGAGTGATGATTGTATTGTACACATTGCATGCATCACACTGCACATGTGTCAGGCTAATTGGCTATGGGCTGACTGTCTTGACCACTAACAATGTTGGCTTGACGATTTTTGGAAGCGGGGGATAGAATCTTGCCTGTGCTATATGCTGCACTATGAAGCTGTGGATAGGAATATACTGACATGAACCACACCTACTTGTAATTGTTCAAATTATCCATTTTGCACATGGGCGAGTCTTAAACTTTTAACTACATTAAATACTACAAAATGTTTTGGGAGTGTTTTCATAAAGGATGATCGAAAACAAGATTCCATCCTCGCGTCCACAAATGGTTGAGATGATATCATTAGTTGGCCGAGACGGTCGGTTGGCTCGGTTTGAATCGCTACAAGAAGATCGCGACTTTAAGCTCGAAACAAGCATTTCCCACAAATATGGGAAATTTCTCCGTGTTCTTCCCAATGGGTAATTCCAGAAATTAGGGGGCCAAAAGTGTGACATTTTCATATCCCTGTTTTACATCTGACCTTTGTTACATGTATATGTCACCAGAATTGATTTAAAACTATTACTATTTGTTTGGCAGGTAATTTGCACTGATTTATGACTCTTGGAAATTAGAAAATGTGTTCTGAACTTACAAAATCATATGTCAGATGTGACAGAGACACCAAAAAAAATGGACCCTAATTTCTGGAATTATGTAAGTAAACCTTACCAACGTAAGTGTCATTGCTAATACTGCATGGGTGATTTTGCACAATGGTACAAAGGCATTGTGGGAAGGAAAAAAGGACAAACTTCCAACAATGCTTTTCAACCATTCTACCAATTCCCACATTTCTGATATCTTGCAATCTGTCACAGCTACACAGGGGAACACATGTTGCGCATCCTGATGGTATCAGCTTACAAGTCACACAGAAAAAGACGGTCGTGCAATAAAAACCAGATGCCATCCCCCACCTCCACGAAATGCAGAGCAAGTTTGGCCAATATTGGCCCGACACATGTGCAATGTGATAAACACACAAAGTGCGATCGTCAGGCATTTGTAAACTTCAGGACCCCCATTTTTATCATTTGTATAAAAGAGGTCGACAAGCAAGAGTACAACCTCGGGCAATGTTCTATTACTGATGCTGACCCTACTATTTTGTGAATTTAGATCAATAAATTAGAAAAAAAGGCGACTTTCTTATTTGATTTTCCGACACGGTTGTTTTACCAAGTTTCCCTCATAAATCAAAACCCTAACCTCTTTCCACAAAACTGATCCTGCAGTTATTCAGTATGGAGACAGCATAATGTATTAAGGTCAGTTTTAAAGTGTCTGTTCTATGAAGGAACAGGGTCCCTAAACTTACAAATGCCTGATCCTTGTCAGGTGGAAATGACAGATTGGTGAGTAAAAATGTCAGATTTTTCAAAAAGTAATTGGTCTCAAGGTCTGAAACTAACAAAGACCTGCAACTGTTTAATAGGCCATGAGAATTAAAATTTCAGATTTGAGTTCAATTTTGGAAAAGCAGGAGACTTTTTTCATTCTGCATTATTTCTTCTTAGCCACCTTCTTTAAACTAAGGTAGTTGAACATTACGTCACTTGACCCGTCATCGTCTTGACGGCTGTTCCATGCCAAGACGTATCTATTACACGGACTGATCATAACATACTACATGTTCCAATGGGCTTTTCCAAAATTTGTTCAACGACCTTATGGCCCTAAGAAAGCGGAGAGGCTCAGGATCATCTCTGTGTGTAAAAAAAATTGCGCCTACAATTATAAGAGGGTGCATCGAACTTTTTCACTACACCAACACGCAAATGGCATATACGGATGTGTGGCTATGGATGTAGCGGTAGTGAGAGTCCATGCCACAGTGGGGCACGGACTCTCACTCCTGTATGCAGAATTTCATGTCGGCTCGCTCTCTCAGTCGCATGTCAGTTCCATGTCAAGACAGCCCCTTGCCGGTACATGTAGTATCTTATCGCTCAGTCCGTGTATTACATATGTCTTGACATAGAACAGCCGTCAGGGGTCAAGTGACGTATTGTTCAACGACCTTATTTTAAAGATGGCAACAGAGAGAGTGAGCCCGTCAGGTTGAATGGATAAAGGCAAAAAGACTGTAAAATACCTGAATAACGTAAGTGAAATAATTCAATAACTGGTTTTGAGAAAACGGTAAGGTCACGGATCATGTTCATGTGCAGAAGAAATTGCGCCCACGATGATAAGTGGGTGCGCCGAAGTTTTTCACTGCACCGACACGCAAATGGCGTATACGGATGTGTGGCTATGGATGTAGCCAGAGTCCGTGCCACAGTGGCTGTTTTGTTTCAAGTAGGCCAAGAACTTTGAAGAAGTAGAAGCTACCTTGAGAGTGAAATGAACATGATGGACTAGACATCGTTGATTCGGCATGTTCAGACGTGTTGGAGTTTAACATCCTCGGTGGTGACTTTGCATTCAGGTGATGCGGGTTGCCTTTTTTGTGCCGAGTGTTCATCATAGTGTTAATATTAGGGTCATGACTGTCGACGTCGTTTTCCGACATCAATGGACATGATGAACACTTCAAAAACCTTGGAGATATTCGTTCCTGATATCTAAACCTGTCCAGTAATGATGGTAACCCTTTGACACTCATTTCATATACAAAAATCACACGGTTATGAAAGCTACAAAACTTCTCAAAGGCTGCATTCACAGGCACAGCACCGGGCTTGCACAAAGTGCCAAAACTTGCAGTTGCGGCAGTGGCCGTGGAGGTAGTGATGCTTTAGGTAAAGGCCGCCGCGCCAATGTCTGTCGTCCCGCGCCGGGCCCGCGCGATAGTTTGTGTCCTTCTTCCAGGTTTCCACTGAGCAAATTGTGTCTTTACGTCATACGTCAATGTACCAGACCTCAGTAAAATGATTCCCAGGCTCCGATTTTTCTCGCCAACGTTTTCAAGGCATAATTTGGCATTAACAACCGATCATCATGATGGGGTACAGCCTAAATACGCCGACCTTTTATCCAATCACACAATCACATGTCAAGCATGTATGTCAAGTGTAAAGTTCTCAAAATATACGCCCATAGCTAGCTATAGCTAGCTAGCTAGCTAGAAATTTACGGTGCAAAATAGCGACGCCTGTTGACTCAATCCACCTCCATGCTAAATGAGGAAGGAAACAGCTGTTTTCCTTCCTCCATGATCTAAGGAACAGTTTGGCCTCTGTTTTGTTTCACTGCTGGAAATTCAAGATTATGGCAAGGTCAGAAGCAAAGATCGTATAGCGCCGAAATCGTATAGCGCCGCTTTGATACGATATTTGGCCAGAACATCGATCACTCTTCGTTCAATATTATGAGGGTTAGCCTCTGTCCAAACATGGCAATTAGGGCCTTTTGTGAAAGAAATACCCTGACCTGGAAACTATCAGTCCAAAATTCAGGATTTATAGAAATATTTGTAGGATCCTTCCTGATTATGGCATGTCTTATTGTAAAAGAAAACCCGTGGGATCACAAAATATTAATGAGCTCACAATAGCGCAGAAATACATTCACTTGGTGGAATGCACCCTCAAGCGTCAAGTTCAAGCCCGCGAGAAATGGCGCGCTTGTCCTGCGCGGACGCCCTCGAAGTCGGAACGGTGCATGCAGAGCTAGAACTGTTACGGGTTGCAGGTATTGAGCAGGCTGTGCCCGGCCACGCTGGGCATGCAGGGTGTGCGTGTGTGGGTGTTTTCTCAACCGGTTGGTTAACTATAACGTGCCTTGCAAATTTTACTGAAGTACAAGTAAAAGCGTGTCGTGCACTATGTCTACGTCAAAGAATTCTAGCACTTTGTCTCTTGAAAATTTTGACTGCATTGGGTTTGACATAGACCACACACTTTGCAAGTACAAATTGGATAATTTCTTTCCGGTGAGGACTGATTGTGATTTGTTGCATGTTCACATTCTTGCGATCGAATTCGTGCGACGTGCGTGTCGATGATCTTGAGTAGTTACGCATTCAGAATGTTCATAGCCAAACAATTTACAAGATATGAAACCCCAACTGACAGACTGAAGTGGCGATCTAAGGCCAGGCAGCGTTCATAGTTAATTGGCAGCGGTTCGACATTACTACTGTACATCATCTACCTCCATGATCATACATGGTGCTTTGTGCCCAGCCACTGCATCCGCATGGGGCTGTTCTATGGTCTTAGGGTGGCTGCAACCGCCCATCAAGTTTTGGTAGGCCTTCTGGCCCTAAAATTTTAACCCACAGCCAACTAATTTTGACATGGCCTATGTGTAACATAACCTTGATTAGAACTAAAAAGACTGTATTAAGAGTGTAGCAGCCCTGACAGAGTGGGGTCCAGGGGCCCACTTAACATGCTTAAGGGTCCCAGGAAATCAGTTTTGGATTCTAGATATATTTTCTGACCAGTTTTTTAGCAAACACTTTTGCATGATGTATTTCACTTTTCAAATAATTTGTCAGCAGTGTAATTCAAATGCGGGCCTGCTCCCTCCTACATTTTTGTTTGAAAAGTGGGTGACAAATCAGAGCTGTTTATAGAGAGAAGTTGCGACACGAGAGTCTCACTTGTTGGAACTATAATGGTGGATACATGCATCAGTGGGCATGCCGCACATGCACATGTTAGCACACATAGCCACATGCTGTACTGAACAAGCAATGAACAGCCAATTTGTTTCCAAAATCTGGAGTTGACACAGCTCTGTATCATATCCAACGACCAAAATTAGAAGCCGTTACTACTGGTCCATCCTGTTTGCACACAGGCGGTTCGTGCGCGTTTCCTCTTTGACCAATAGGCAGTAGTCAGTTGCATGCTCAGACCATTGAGACAGGTACATAAGTGTAAGCGGCCCCCTCGGAATGGCGTCTTGTCGGATTTGTCTATACAACTCTGGAACAAATGAATGTGAATTTGTTCAAGAGATGAAATTCATACATGGTGCAGTTTCAACCTTTTGTCAGTTTTGACCTTTAAAAGTCCTTTAGAGCAATAAATTATGCAACGAAAGAGAAAGATGCCGCAATTTATTGTACCTGTAGGAATCAATTAAAAAAGGATAATCTTGTGATTTTTTAGAGGTGAGGACAAAAATTCTAAATGCCCACAATAGCTGGGCAGTGAATTCTGGTCTCCAAATGGAAGCGTTGTACCGTAATCACTAGACTGCGTACTGACTCTACCAGGTATTTCATAGGGTTAATTTGGTTCATGCTAGTATTTCGAAAAAAGATAAGGTGCAACTGGATGCTGGCATAATACATGTATGCTTCATTACTGTAATCGTGCAACCTCAAGGTAGAGTGCCTAATTGCCATGCACACTTCTCAAGAGAGATGTTTTATTTCCTACATTATAGTACATGATGTCACCATAAGTTTTTGTTTGGTTTTGGAACAGCTGTCATATAATTACAGTGCCAGAGTACTTGTTGAGAAAGGATATGATGAAAGTCTTCTTCAACCATTTGAGATAAACAAGGATTTTTGGTAAGTTAAAAGCCAGAGATTTGGAAATTTTTTCCTTATGTTTCTGAGTGCCATTTTTAAATGTGTACATATGTAATAAAACCTTCACTGAGATTGTCAGTCCAAAGATCTCCATTTCTTCCAGTACTCAAAATAAGGAGCAGAAAAAGAGCAAGTAAGAAAGAGTTCGTGCAGTTTCTTGTCTGTAAAATTTGTTGAAGAAATAGAAGCCCTCTTCTTTTAAGAAGATGGCAAATGAATTAGACTGTTTTGTTGATAAAATTGTACATTCTGAAGGAGCTATCACCGTATCCGATAAGGTTTGAATTTGCATCCATATCTTCATACCAGGGTTGGCCATTTTAAATCACCTTGATTTGAATCACCAATATAGAAAGCGATTCAAGTCAAAAGGTTTTTTAAGCTGATTTAAATCAACATTTTAGTGTTTTGGGGGGAAAAAGCAAGAAAAAAATATGTTCTTTGTCAACTGATTTGTAATTTTTCAAGGTTTTCCGCATTCTAAATGGCAAATACATGTACATGTATAATGTCAAGTAAAATTTGAAGCTTTGCATGGCGGAAGTTACATGAGATGTAGGCTTGCGAGTGCACTATGGAATCAATCTCTTTTGGAAGAGATGTGGTTCTTAGAAGAACTGGTGAGTAAGATAATATCCTTCTGTGAGCCCTTCATTTCCTAATATTAATAGGAAGTATTCACATACTGAAGCCACTTGTTTTGATTTAAATCACCTGTTTGGATTCAGTCATAAATTTCATGTAAAGATTTATTATCATGATTTAATTTCATTACATTTAAAGTGTCCACTTCTGAGTTTAACCATGGAGGAAGGGGGGGAAACATGGTAAAGTGTCGGTGTATGGTACATCATGGGTACATCTAACTTTTAGCTCAAGTTAATGTGTTTCATTGAGATTAAAAATATTGGTCATTGGAGAGGGGAGGCAGATGTGAAGATCAAAGCTATTGAGATACATGGAATTGTCTTTTTTTCCAATTCTGAAAAGAAAAAGAATTCAGGAAGAAGAAAAACATTAAGTAAATGGTGAATCTAGTTGGTGGCTTTGTTTAAACACCGTTTTTGCACCAAGGTTATAGAGAGGTCAAAGAGGTACAGTTTCTAATCAAAAAGATACAGTTTTGAAAAATATGAATTGAGACTTCAGACACAGAAATACAACTTACAACTTTTCACCTCAACAACCCACAGTATACAGAATCTTGTAGAAAAGCCATACCAGTCATTTGAAAGCAGACAGTCTGATTCAGCGAAAAGAAAGTGATAAATTGTTCCTTAGGACAGAGTTACAAAATTGACTGTGCATTTTATTGACAAGAACTCTGTGACATAGAAACAAAATTCTGTCTCAGCAAAATCAGTCCGTAAATGAGATTACATATTGTAGATTGCAAAGTGTGTTGAAATTAGCTTCTAATCAACCAGATATCAGGCACAATCAACACACAAATTGACTGCAGTAAATGACCACTGTCAAAGGAAAAATTCAGTGTTCAGATTTAGACATTCAAAAGCTACATGTAAACATGCTATAATAGGGACAGACACTTGAGAAAATCCATCAATATCATTCGAATTAGACATTGAATGGATAAATAAAATTATATAAGAAAATCATTGAAATTGAATACTTACAAAACATCATCATATGGATGCCCAGAAAGCATCAAGTGGAGTACACAAGAACAGCATGCATCTTAAATTCCTGTGAACTCTAGTCTTGTCAAACTTCAAGTCCTGTTTAAACCTGGCACTTTACCCTTAGAACCTGTATCTCTGAAGGAACTGTCTTCTCTGCAGGTACATGTACATGTAGTTGCTTTACTGCATGCATTTCACCTGGACATAGACAATTTTTAAGATGGTGTGTTATTTTCATAAAATTCCTTGATTTAAATTTCTTAATTTATTTAAATTCAAAGTTGTTTAATTTTGTATCAAATGAAATAAATTAAAGAAGATTAACACAGAATTTCCTTGCTTAGGAATAGATCATTGAGCCAATAAATTTGTCTCCAATGTTTGTAAGAATAAAAAAATTCACATATGAGAATAAAATTCAATCTGATTTACAGTTTAAAAAACATGTTTTTAGGATCAAAACAATAGAAATTTGCCCGCACTGATACATTTACATAGTTTGTTGAAAATGAAAAGTCAAAAAGTCAAAATGTAATGGAAATCGAAAAGAGGATAATAAGCAATTGCTCACCTTAATGATAAGCAAATTGTTTCATTCACAGTTGATTCAAAATTATTACCTGTGTATGTTTGTATGCTAAAATGTAGAGGGCACATGATAATCAGTAATTTGGAACTGTAGCGTCAAATCCTTGGTACCGGTAGTACTTAGTTTTCCAGCGGGTTCTTGCAAGCGTTCTGCACATATGCAAAGACCATGCATTAAGGAATAAATTCGTTAAGCGTACTCAGCATACTCCGCATCAAATGCGCCATTGATCTGCATTATAAATGCATGCCTATGCGGTGAGTACCAAAACAAAACGTCCTCTTTTGAAGCTGATTGGTTGCTAAATAACTGCATGCTTCTTTTTATCTCTAGCATCAAAGGGATGGTATTTGATTCAGCCAATGGTGACTTTCTGAAGTTATCGGACTCTGGTGTCATCTTACGAGCAAGTCATGGTTCTCGGATGATGTCAGATGCTGAGATACAAGACAAGTATGGCCGAGACAGACAGTGGCAGTACTTCAGTCAACTTGAAAGTACTCTGGAGCAGTCGGGTAAGATAGTGGAAGAAAATAATCACTAATTTCTCTTGTAAAAGCAAATTATGTATTATTTTGTACAAGTAAATTCAAATGATAGCTCATTTTTTAATAAGCTAAATTCTACCTCGCTTAAGTCCAGATTAGGAATTTTGTAGTTTCTTCAAAATATAAGATATTTCTCAATCTCTCATTTCTAAACTCTGGGAACCATGGCTCCTTCAACTCTAGAAAAACTTGAAATCTAGGTTTGTTTCAGTTTCCTACTTAATTCCAAATCAGGCAGTGACAAGGTTTCTTTTCAGTCAATGTTTACAACACAAAATTCTCGAGATTCAATTCATCACCAGATTCCAAAACCTTTTACTTCTGAACTAAAGATTCTGAATTTTCATGTAATATCCAAAATACATTTCTAGTTAAATTTCCACCATCAACTTCAACATGTATTTTTGCGATTGACATACTAACTTGTCGTGCCTGGTTGGGACAAAGCATGGAAGATGATCCTACACGCAGACCCTACTACTAAGTTGACCCCTGACCCACAAATTTAGGTGATGTAAATAGAGGCCATGTAGTACTGTATATGTTCAGGCTTTGCGCTAACTTTTTTTCCTGGCTAGCCCACTGGGCTAGTTAACTGGATATTTTACTAGCTCATTAAGTGTTTTACTAGCCCATGTATTAAATTATCGCCCTGTCGAGTGAGCATCACATTTAAAAAAACACAAGGAAAAACACATCCACAACAACTTGTATTTATTATCACAAAAATTTTATTATATATTTTTATTTAAGTTTTAACAGGTAGGCTTATTCTGAATTTTTCACAAGCCCATCGGGCAACCAAGGTACCAAGTTAAGGTAGCCCGGAGCATTTTTTGCTGGAATTTGCCCCAGTGTGAAGGCTGCTGAGGTATTTTTATCCAATCAAGTCCTGCTCCTTGTGGTACACATGTATGGTACATGTAAGCGAAGTGAAGAATCACAGGAGGTTTATGGCCCAACCTAATCCTAGAGATTCAAACTCATGAACTTGTACTTTTGGGATTATCTGTGTACATATATACCAACCCTCAGTCATGAAATGTTGGAACATTTTGTAATCTCATTTATAATACAGGTTTTTATATCCTGGCTGACTATTTAATCCATTCATTATGTGTGGTGTTACGTTGATTATCAGTCTCTAATTTGTTTCCTTCTAAAAAATGTCCTCTAACCTTGATGGTCAGTCTCCCATTTTTTTGCCGCCTTATTTGGAAAAATCCTTGACGTGAAAGTTGTCAGTTTCATGTTGTAAACTCAACTTAATGAGGAAATTGTGCTGTTTCAAAACCTTTTAATTTAGCATTCTAGGTTCATGTGTAACTGAGGTTATGCTCGCAGGAAGTTTTAAAACATTTGGAGAAATCAAGCTTTAAATTTATGAGTAAAAATTTCATTTTGATTACGAGAAAGATGAAGAAGAAACATGGGAGCAACCAGCTGAAAAAAGTGTTGGAATACAAATGAACAATAATGAATATGGCTCAAGATCATGAATTCAGCCTGGAAAACCTATATTAATTGAAAATCATAAAATATCACAAATTGTCAAAAAAGAAATGGTGACTATGTTGCTTTTATCCCCAGAAACAAGTTTGGCAACATCATATAGGTTTTCCTAGATTGCATAATATGCATGTACATGTATTTGATATACTCTCTGACAATTTTAGGATTACCTTTCAGCTTTCAATTCGGGAATATGCCTTTAAAAATACTACAGCACCAAATGAGTAATTCACAGGTGTAGAGAAGGAACTTGGCAGTAATGGCATTGCCAGATTTAGTTGCAATGGTGAAACTGTTAAAGACACTTGCTAATGCCTCAAATTAAACTTTTGTTTTTCTTTTTTTGAATATCAAATTATTTTTAGACATTTTTGGGGTCTTATTAATTTTGAAATGCATGAGCCAACACAGAATGACGACCCCAAAGAATGCTTTATATCATGCTATTCTGTTATTACACAATGGGGATCAAAGCAAAATTCTATAAGTGGAGCTGTGAAGTTCACTCATATTGGAATAAACAACAGAATAGAAAATGAAACTCATCCTCATGTTTGCTTCATTGAATCTGTGTTTAGGAAAGTTGTTTAATAGTGGTCAGCATCTTAATGAATACTGTACCAGGTAGTTAGCAGAAACTGAAAGGTTTGGGTATGTACGTATGTATATTAATAATCTTGTTACGTATCAGGAAGGGTAGTACATGTACATGTAAATGTATGTGCCAACAGCTCATCAGTGTGCATTGCATAATCAAACCAAATGGGGCTCGAACAGGTGTCTTGTGCTCTGTTCACTTCACTGCTTGCTATGTGTATGTTAATGCTTTTGTTTGTCACATCTGCTACAGAGATAATAGGGCCTGACTTCACAGACACAGTTGAAGGAGGCCGAGCTGAATTCCAGTGTACTTTCACTGGTTTATATGCATCAAATCACTCTGTTGCTTGGCTGCATGATGGAGTCAAATTGGAAGATGGGAAGAATGTTCAGATAGAATTTTATGACAGCAATTGGATGTGTTATGAGCAGAAATTCAGCAATGATTCAGCTCTCAGTAAGCTTATTATCCATCCAGCTAGATCGATTGATTTGGGGATATACTATTGTCAAATAGATCAAAGAAGGTCTCAGCCAGTGTTTTTGCATGTGACCCCATCAGAGCCTCAGCCATCAGTTGAAGTTACCTGCTTTCCTTCTGGACTTTTTGTTGTTTCACATGGTTCAAGAATCAAGGTCCGTTGCTGGTTCCCAAACTCAGAGCACCATCCGGTCAATAACTTGACATGGAATTATTCAACAAGCGATGTCAACTACTGGACTGATAGCGTGCATCATTTTGCAGAAGCTTCAATCACAGCTTTGGATAACATTACTGGTGCCATCTTCATGTGTGGTTTCGGCAGTGGTGAATCACAGAATTATTGTATCAGTGGTCCTGTTGTTGTTCATCATCCACCGTATAATTTCTGTTTGGATGGCAGTGACTCTTACTTCACGACACCTTTGCTTTATGATGTGTCATTTATTCAAAGAAGTGCTTATATTGACCACTACCAGTGGTCTTGCTATGAAGAGCTGTCAGTTGATAATTCCAGCTCTAGTGAAGGTCAGTTAATTCTACAGGCTGAGCTTGAAGGACATTACATTATTTGTATAGCGATTCAGAATCATGTATATGTAAGTGCAACTATAGCTAGTACCAAACTGCTGGAAACCATCAACTCGGACAAGACGACACTGGTAAGTCGTACATTTGAAGCTGTCCTTGCAAGCCAATCAGAAAAGAGTGGCCTTTCTCTTCAAGCTACCTATGACGGTCAAATGTTTGCAAGCACTAATCAGCCTCCTGATGTCACGAGCCTTGGTCTGTCCTTGTCAAACAATGGTAGATTCATAAATAGTACTCAACATGAACGAACTGGGTCATTATTGAGCAGCACCATTCAGATAGAAGGCACTGGAGTCCTATCAACATCCCCTTCACGAACTTGGCTGTCTGAAACTGCTTTAGTACCCCAACTCACTATGAGGAACCACTTGCTCCTGATAGGGTTTGCAGCTTTTCTAACATTGGCTCTCTGCATTGGTTTATGTGTCTTTTGGAGAAAGAGAATGAAAGGAAGAAAAAAAAGGTTGGACAAGTTTAGAGACGGCATGTGGCTTCCTTCAAAAAGACGAACTATGATCTTTCCAAATTATGAGACACAATCGGTCGAGCCAGAGTTTGAATCAACTTCAATGCAACACCAGGAAGATAGGCCTTACATGGATATGAGGGAAACATCAGTTGAGGTTCATCAGTCACCAGACCTACCCCAAAAACATGTACATGTACCCCAAGCTGAAGAACCGGGAGCCTTGGTCAAGGATCAAGCTACATGTATAGTGGAAGTCCATCAAGTTGGTTGGAATTCAGAGTCTAAATTACCCCCTAAATGTAGCCAAGCCCAAGGGGAAGGGAATTATATGGACATGACACAGGCATCCTCCAAAATTCCAAGTGTGTTCACCATTCCTCAAAGCCGCAAAACTTTATTCCAATCTAATATTGAGTTGAGCACAATAGACAAGAAGATATACCGGGGTTCAGAGAAGATGGTATGTACATGTGTACTAAAGAGACATCAGTCGATGAAAGGGTTACAACAAAAGGCTTTGGAAAGGAAAAGCTCTTTGTCTTGTGTCCATAGGTCACCAGGTTTGTTTTTGAGTGATGAAACCACCATGGAGATGCAGTTTAATCCCTTGTTACAAGCAGAACAGAATTTGTTGGCAACAGCAGTCCATCGTCCAGAGTTTATGCGTGAACGCGGGGATAGTTCGGCAAGTAATACATATATGGAGATGTCTAAAGTTGACTTCAGCGGCCCATCTTATGTAAACACTGGCCGTTCTAGACCAAACCATGCAGTCCTTGCTCAGACAGAATCTGATAATGTTGCTTTGCATTGTTATGATGATAACATTGAGAAGCAGCAACATGATGCTGTGCATAATACATACATGGATGCATTGAGTTTTCAGACATGGAGGAACAATAAGTCCTCTGAATGTTAAACTGAAAGTCTTGAGTTGAAGTCACATTTCTGACGGTGCTTGAAGCTACAGCTCAAATCTTGTTCGTAAAGGCCATCAAATCAACCATGGCATTAAGTTGAGTTGTAAAATTTACATTCACTAGAGCTCACAAGATTGAACTGGATTTGTGCTGTTCTAATGAAAACTTAACGAACAGTAGTTGTCTCAAAATTCATCTCATTTTAAACATGACGGGAAGTCATGTAAGTTCTGATCAGTATCTAATACATGTACGTGTATATTCTCAAAATGTACAGTATGTCTATTGTTGGATCATAATTAGGGAGCAAAAGTGTCCTGATGCATGTGGTAACTGCATGGTACTATCTACATGTACATGTACTCTTGCTATGCTCAAAAAGCAAGACTTCCAA